TTTTTATTAACTACTGATGCAAGCGATGAAGGAATCGGTGCAATCTTATCACAAGGTGAAATAGGCAGCCATCTTCCCATTGGTTACGCTTCACGAACATTAAATAAAGCAGAAAGAAATTACGACACAACGGAAAAAGAACTTTTAGCTATTGTCTGGGCAGTGAAACATTTTCGACCTTACTTGTACGGTAAACCATTTAAAATTATCACGGATCACAAGCCGTTAACTTGGCTCTTTAATGTTAAAGATCCATCATCCCGACTAATGCGCTGGCGATTAAAATTAGAAGAATATAATTATAAAGTCGTATACAAAGAAGGAAAACTAAATACAAATGCAGATGCACTCTCTAGAAATCCGCAAATAATGACCTTTCAGATACAAGCTTCAGGTAGTAGCGATGCGAATTTGAGCTATAGCTTATTTTTACAACACGCACTAAATGATTCATTGTGGGAAACAGATAATATAATCCCTCAAATTTCAGGTAGCATAAAAGGTCTTTTAGTGAAAGAAATAAACTCTTCTCCTAAAATTAAAATTTCTCTTTCTAAAAACGGTAATAAAGCAGAAGACATAACGCTCGCACCGGGAAATATTAAAATTAAGAAAAAGAAGCATCTAACTGAAATAAATCTCGTTACACGCGAAAATAAAAATACCCCAATAAATATGGAAGATATTTTTAATTGCTTAATTAAACTAAAAGAATATGTAATTGCACATAACCAAACGATAATTTCGATAGCACCTATAGGAGACGCTAACAATAAAATAAAAATAACTCAAATGATAAAATATATATTTAAAGATACACCAATTAAAGTATATCTATTAGAATCGTTAACACAAGAAATTGTTGATCCAATAATAAAACAAAATATTTTAACAGAACTACATAATTCAGCGATCGGAGGTCACAAAGGCGTAACAAAAACTTTAAAACGAATACAACAATACTTCTCATGGGATGGTATGAAACAAGACGTAAAAAATTATATAAAAGCTTGCCATGATTGTCACAAAACGAAATTAGTTAGAGTAAAAACAAGAGCACCCATGTTAATTACTGACACTCCAAGTGAGGCATTTGAAAAGGTAGCGATCGACATTGTGGGTCCTTTGCCGGAAACAGAGGAAGGACATAAATACATCTTAACCACACAGGATCAATTAACGAAATTCTGCACGGCTTATCCATTGCTAGACACAAACAGTATGACTATAGCTGATAAAATCGTCAATAAATATATTTATACCTATGGTTCACCTAAAGAATTGTTGTCCGATCAAGGTACTAACATTTCAGGAGAGTTAATGAAAGGAATTGCAAAGATCTTTGAAATCAAACAGGTAAAAACAAGCGTTTACCACCCTCAGTCAAATGGAGCATTAGAGCGCTCACATCACGTATTAGCTGAATACCTTAAACCATATATTAATCAAAATCAAAATAATTGGGATTCATTTCTAGATGCCGCTATGTTCTCTTATAATACCGCTTATTAAGGAACAAAAATATCTCCGTACGAACTAGTATTTGGACGAAAACCGCGACTTCCTTCCGTACTTGTAGAACCAAGACAAGGAATCACTCATGAGGAATTTCTCGTAGATTTAACGAATAAATTGAATTACCTAAGAAAAAACGCTAAGAATAATTTACAAAAGGCTAAAGAGTCAGCGAAAGAATATTACGATAAGAAAATGAAACCATTAGTTTTAGATCCGGGAGAATACGTTTATGTATTACACGAAACGGTCAGAACAGGCAGTAAAAAATTGTCTGATCAATACGACGGACCTATTGTACCAGATTTCGACCGTCCATACTTGCGAATCGGAACTACTGAAATCCGCTAGATTAGAAAATATATTGAAAGAATGCGATATCCGTGTAATGAAAATTCATAATACTGTCTGGTATCAATTATAATCTGCGAACTCGTGGCTTTATACTGCGCCGCGGGAGGAGACCCTTCACATTTTATGTAAAGACGACAAGCCGCGTCAAACACAACTACTTTTAACTGGTTTAGTTAAACTATTCCCGGAATGTGATGCCATTTCGGATAATGTTTTATTACATACCCAAACTATAAGCATAATCGATACCATTGATAAAGATTTTATTCCTAACGTTAATCTTAGTACAAACAAACTATGCGAAGATATCAAGAAAAATAATGTTAATATTTCAGAGCTTCAATTGTTAAACATTGGTAAAACACCTCACTTAGATATTAATTTGTTAAAAACAGCTAGTTCTAGTTTGGACGAATTATATAAAGAAGCAAATGAGATAGGCAAACATCACCGAACTAAAACCTTATATGAAAAGACCTTGAGTTGGTTTTATTATATATTATATACTATGATAGGATTAGTTATTATCTATATAACGGTAAAATGTTCATTGATTAGTAAGTTTGTTCATATTTTTAAATTATGCTGTATACCTAAAGAAGGTTGCGTTCAGTATTTTAACAACTGTTTTAATAATAATATAACCACTTGCAGTGCTCATCCGACAGCTACGCAACGCAAAGTTACCTTTATATCGGTACCGACCGACAGCGAAGAATCCCTTCGTATCGAAAGAGAGGGACATGGAACAAATAACGAGATCCGACGTTCTCGCTCTCGTAATAATCGATTGTCAAGACTTGAACGCGTGTAAGACAAAACACGACTATTGTATCGTTTTAAGAAAATTTAACATTGCGAATTAATGTCATAGTATAAGAACCTATATATGTGTATGTTAGAGTATAAGACTACGTTATACCTCATTGTTAGAACATTGTTGAATATTAATTTTTCTGATCATTGTAATACTAGATTAAGTTATTGCGTTAATTTAGAAATAAGATCTTAAATGTATTTTTCTACTTCGAGAAAGATCTTCATTCCTAAGGGGGGAGATGTTACGTGCCGCAACTTATAGTTTCTTAGATTACTCTTTTTATTCGAACCTTTGAACCTTTTTTATCTTTACTCCTTATTGATCCTAAACACATGACCCTTTGATAACTGCAATAAACATTAACACTGTCCCTATGCCTAACGCATATTTTCCCTTTGACAAAACCGCCTTCTTCTAATAAACATTCCGCCGCTACGATTTTCCTACAGCATCTTAAACGAAGATCATTCTCGCCAGTTCAGTTCTCGATCAAAGCTCAAACCAGCAACACCGAATAAAGACTTTTTCCACAAACGTGTCCCGACTTATTCTAAATAATCTATTACGTAGCTATACGCTCGTAACAGCACACTGGCAGACAAACAATTTCCTAAAAGACCTAGAATGATAAATATCGGCAGACTGTACTTTCTGAAATTTATATAGGTTTCCACACTATCTGCAATTACATGAAGCATGTAACGAAAGGAATACAATTTATTTATGACGTAAGTGATTGGAAAATGTCTGCCTACTATATCTTCGTTACATAAATCTTTAAATTTTATAATTCTACTTATATTTACAAGTAAATAAGGCATCATGGTACGGCTTCTGCTGATATAATCGTAGATATAATATTGAGCAAAGCCTCGTAAACTTCCGTCAAAATCTCTATCGTTATTACAAACACGTAATCGTAGTTAGTGTTTAGATATGCTAGAATAATCTTTACCGAGATTATTTTCAAAAAACATTGTTGCGTTATGATTGTTTGCAACAGTTGTTTATTAGATGAAAAGCAAAGAGCGGTATAATCAAGTTGCATCACGCATCTGAAAAAGCGTTATAACATTATTATACATGTTATTCATTGAAACCAATGAATCTTGCATATAAATTTTATTTATGAATACATTTACTAAAATAATTTTTTTTATTATTAAAAGTATAAAATATACAATATAGATACAGTATTTTAAACATTTAAAGTAAAATGTCTTACGCACTATCTCACTTACCAGAGAATTGTTAATAATTCTGAAGTCTATGAATACGGGGGTTACAAACTCTCAGCAATTCCCCGATTTTAATTGTTCAACTGCTAAACAGTAACGATTGTAAGCGACTGAATGTCGAAACGACTGACTTGGATGACGGTATTATTTCTTCCTGGAAGTTAGCGGCTTACCAAAATGATTAATATTTTGACTGTAAAGTTTCTTATATACGTTGACATGTAAATTTCTACAGAAGCATATCGTTCTACTTAAGTATTGATAATAACATTAAAAGTTGCAATAAATATTACTAAAATAATACATAAATTTTAATTATAACGAAATTTTTCATTTTTTTTATGGAAGATATTATAATAAACATAGTTTTTATTAGCATAATATATATGATTACCCGGTAACTGTGGTTGTTATATAATACGTATCAAATAACTAGAACATTAAAATATTTTATTTTGTACAGTTTAATTAATATTATATATTTATATATTTAGATATATTTAAATATATTTATATATTACATATTTAGTTTTATTGAGATTTATACATTTGTACGCAATATCGTACTATTATTTTAGAAAAACTTTATTACTAATATTTGTTTAAATAATGAACAATATTTATTAGCGCATTCTAAATAAGTTGAGTAAAATGCTCTGTCCTTTTGACAATTATTTGCAACAGCTATTATAAATTCAATACTTATCGTCAATCTAATTGTAAATATATTAGTCGAAAATGTTCAGAACATAAAAGGAAGCAAAATGTACATGTAGAAAATAAAAATTACAATAACCGATTAAAAGCGTTTCTTATATATAGAAAAGCGTTTATCATTTTGTATAAACAAGTAATATGCACGTGTGTAGTAAGTGAAATTATCAAACATCTGCATACTTGTATATCAATACACTGGCTGATATGGATATTTGTGACATAATAACATATAAGTAGAACACAATTCGTTAGTAACACGTTTTTGTCATTTTAGAAAATATTCCTGTAATAAAAAGATGTCATTTACGTAACTTTGATGATAACAAATTATTATTGCTTTACAATCAATGATGTATTCATTTTCCTATTTCAAATAGTTAAAAATCAACATATTTTCTAAGTTATATAGGTTAACATTTGTTAACAGAATTGACAAATCTGTTGTTCTTTTTATGGTGCGCTGAAACATTTTACATATTACCTACATATTTGTGTATCATAAATTGTTTTAATTGTTACTTTTGACTTACTTTTAACACTTTTGATACAACAATGTTTAACTATTTTATTAAGCTATTTGCAGTTAACTATATTTATATAAAGATATAATGTATATTATAACCTCTCGTGTATCAATCAGGAGTGTTATCTTCTCTTGAGAAACTTTCAGTTGTGCGTTGTTAACAAATAAGCACAATGTTTTGTTTGAAGTGCGGTAGGACGTAAACTTGCAAGCTGTAACAAAATGCAAAGTATTATAAAATTGAGAAAAATTTTCTTATTTTTACTTTTATACATTTAAAAATAAAAGTCTTATAACAAAAATAGTATAAGAATTTTTGATTAATGTAATTTAAATATGCACATGTCAAAAAATTCGATAAATTTATACAACAAAGATGTAAGAATTACATGGTAAATAATGGAAACAGGATTTATACGAAGTGAATAGTATAAAATTTATGAAATTATGTGAATTTACAATATATATTTAGTAAATTTCTATTATTTATAAGGTAATTTTTACATCTAATTTTGTAAATTTATCGATTTTATTTTCGGTATAGAACACCGTATTTAATTATGGTATTACTTTTACTTATGACTGCATAATTGGACATCAAACAAACTGTTACTTATAATTATACATCTCCATTATTTCTGTTGTTCCTTATATTTGTACGTTTTGTAAACATGTGGATTAGTTCTCTGCGAAAAGTTTGTCCTGTTGCGCAGTAGAGAACAAAATTTATACTGTAATGTGCTGTGTCTAATAAGTCAAATATTATGGACATGACTACCACAATGCCATTATTAGATATCTGAAAAAATTTTTATTCTTATTTTTGTTTTATATAACTATTAATAATATCATATCAATACTTATATTTCAATGCTTATATTTTAATGCTTCCATTTTCATATGCGGATATCTAATATAAGAAATCTATTGTGTAATTTTATTCATAATGTAAAAATTAAACAGTAGAAATTATTTCAAAAAAATTCCAATTTTAAGAGAAAAATTAATTAATATTTTTTTGTCATATACGGAATGCATTTTTAGAGTAAATAAATTGCTAAATATGATTATTATTATTTTAATATAAATTATCGATACGTATTATTTTAATATGAATTATTGATACGTACGTAACTAATAATGTAAACAAAGTAATGTGCAGGTAATTTCAAAATTACAAATATGCTCGAAACAAGAATAAGCATTCTTGTGATTTTATACTGAAGCTTTTTATCACTAGAAATCCGAGTTCTCTCATTAGAAGAATCGGACGCTGTAATCAACATTTTGCGAGCACGATCTTGCTGGTAAATGTGGTATCCTATCAGAGTATTACAGATTACTATCACGAGAACAGGTAAAGTAAATATTATAATAGAATCCATAATTCTTCTTGTCTGAGCAGCTCCTTTCTGACTGTCCAATTTTAAATGTTTGTATACATCATAGATATTTATATCTTTTTTAAAATACATTTCATCTCTATTATGCATGGTCCCAAAAATAAAAAAAGTTTGTAGAATGCTACGTAAAATCGCTAGTCCCATCAGCGTTATCACTACGATTTTTGCTCGTTTGACAGTGCACCAGGATCGACGTAGAAGCGGATACTTCGTCACCATATATCGCTCGATAGTAAAAGCTACTATAAGCCACACACTTAAAAACTCGGAAAAAAAACTCCAAAAATCCATAAAAAACTTTAACCAATACAAATAATTTTCTTTTGGTTTTATATTCATTAAGATGAGCCAGTCAATGAGTAATATTATTGAGAAGGCGATGTCGCTTATTGCTAATACACCCAAGTAAATGTTGGACGAGAAAGAACGCATCTTTTTACGGAAGAGCACAATAGCGGACAAACAGTTTCCTAAAAGACCCACAATAATAAAAATTGGCAGACTGTACTTTCTGCAATTTGAAAATGTCTCCAAAGCATCTGCAATTGCATGTTGCATGTGAAAAAAGAAATAAAATTGTTTTATAACGTTGATACGAAAGTCTCTGCCTACAATATCTTCGTTACATAAATCTCGAAATTTTTGAATTCTACTTATGTTTACAGGTGATTGAAGCGTCATTAAACGTATACTGTAGAAATAAATAAAATTTTCGGCCATGTTTCGCAAACTTTCGTCAAGATCTCTTTCGTTGTTACAAACATGCATTCCTAGTTCGTGTTCAGATATACTAGAATAATCTTTGCCGAGATTATTTTCAGAAAACATTCTGCGTACGATTATGGAATGTTTGCAACAGTTGATTATGAAATTAAAAGCAAAAAGCTCTGTAATCAAGTTGCGTCACGCGTCTGAAAAAGCGTTATAACATTATTATATTTGTTATTCATTGAAATCAATACATCTTGCATATAAATTTTATTTATAAAGACATTTACTAAAATAATTTTTTTTATTATTAAAAAATAAAATATACAAAATATACAATATATATACAGTATTTTAAACATTTAAGGTAAAATGTTTTACGCACTATCTCACTTACCTGAGAGTTGTTAAAAATTCTGAAGCCTACAAGGGTTACAGACTTTCAGCAATTCCCTGATTTCAATTGTTCAACTGCTAAACACTAATGATTATAAGCGACTAAATGTCGACACGACTGACTTGGATAATGATATTATTTCTTCCTGGAAGCTTGTGGCCTACCAAAATATTTAACAGTTTGATTATAATGTTGCTCATATCCGTTGACGTGTGAGTTTCCGCAAAAGTCTGTCGCTCTACTAAAGTATTTTCAATGACACTAAAAGTAGCAGTAAATATTACTAAAATAAAACATGAAATTCATTTAAAACAAATTTTGTTATTTTTGTTATGACAGATATTACAGTAAATATAGTTTTTATTAGCATAATATTTATGATTACATGGCAACTGTGGTTATTATATATTACGTATTAAATAACTACAACATTATAGTATTTTATTTTGTACACTTTAATTAATATTATATCCCATGTGGGAATTTTATACATCAGACTAGTATTAGATACTGGCGAGATACAGATCCAGTACCGAAAAACGAGTTTTACGTTTCGGTACTGGCATAGTACAAAACCAGTATTAAAATAACAATGGTTTAGTACTAATCCATTATCTAAATCAGTATTGAGTAATGGTACTGAAATGGTATACTGCCGGTAAATTTGCGGTACTGTATCTGTACAAAAATTAGTAAAAAAAATGTCAAATGTCAAGTACCGAGACGGTATACTGCCGGTAAATTCAAGGTACTGTGCCCGTACAGGAATTGGCAAAAGAAGAGCGTTGAATGCCAGTACCAAAATAATATATTGCCGGTGGATTTTTTTGTACTATACCTGTACAAAAATTAGTAAAAGAAATGTCAAATTACAGTACCGAAACGGTATACTGCCGGTAAATTCAAGGTACTGTGCCCGTACTGGAATTGGCAAAAGAAGAGCGTTGAATGCCAGTACCGAAATGGTACAATGCCAATAAATTTTTTAGCACTAAAATTGGCAAAAGAAGAACATCGAATACTTAGTATACATCATAGGAGGCAGTGTCAAAGAGTATAACCGTTGTATATTTTAATGTGACAGAAAGTGAAACTATATTCTAGTCCATTGCGTTATTAACAAAACGGATAAACTTAGTAAAAAAGAATTATATTTTTTACGAAAAAAGAGAACCTTGAATAATTGGCCGAGAAACGGAGTAATAACAGTTATTGTGAGTGATAATTCTGTTATTTATTATGTTTACTAGTTGTCAAATTCTCTCTTTTTTTTTGTATTATGGAAAATAATTTTTTTAATTGCAATTATATCAATTTTATAACTCATAGTTACAGCTATGTCCAGTGGTAAAAATTTAATAGAAAATGCTGAAAAGGAAGGTACTTTTATACCAAAAAATATCGAGATTTAAAGAAGCTAAAGACTATATCATCATCATCGTTATCGTCATCATCGGATGATAATGAAATATATGAAAACGAGAATCAAAAAATCAGTTACAATCTGACAATGTTTGGGTGACCGAAAGTGAAGTTGAAAAACAACGTGCACAAATTTTGCCTTCTTCTTCAGCATTATCTCATGATAATAGAAATACCAAGTAATTGCACACATATTTATAATTTAAAATATTTTACATATTTGATGATAAAATTATCTGTTCATCATTATTTGATGATGATATTGAAATTATCTGTTAATACAATTTATACTTTTTAACAACGTAATGATTAATTTTGATGAAATTTTTGGATTTATTATTAAAAAAATAAATAAATAATAAATAATAAATAAATAAACAAATAATAATAATAAATAATCTTTTTGAATATTAAATATATTTTTCTAATTAAATAAGTATAATCTTCAATCTTTAGCATCTTTGATAATGAAATTACATCATCTTCATCAAGTGAAGAATTATGTCACGACAACGAAGTCGAAGAACAATTAGAAAATTAGATCCAAACATTTCTTTTAAACAAAAGATACTTGATTGGTCTGTTAAAAATGTTGCATGTCTCAATAACAAAATGTTATCTGAGTTATTATGTATTTTGAAAACTGAACATGACGAATTTCCAAAAACAGCTGCAACATTTCTGCAAACTAAAAATTCCAGAAATGTTGTTAAATTTATGTTAAGTGCTAATGGATCGTTTGGTACTTACATTTATTTTGGTTTAGAAAAAGCTCTTAAATTGATGATAAATCCTAAAGTATATGTAAAGATGTAATTGAAATTTTTGTTAACATCGACGATGTACAAATTTATAAAAATTTAAAACAACAATTTTGGCCTATATTGATTATGTTACATGATAAGAAATACATTGTCAAACCGCAAGTTGTTGCTATATATCACGGTGAATCTAAACCAAAATCGCCAACGGAGTTTTTAAATGAATTTATAGAAGAACTATTAAGTTTAATGACCAATAAAATTAAATTGTCAGATAAAATATATAATATTAAAGTGTTAGGTTTTATATGGGATACACCGGCTAGGTCATTTATTAAATGTGTAAAATCTCACGTAGCATTTTATGCATGCGAACGTTGTACCGTACACCGAAAAAATTATATTCTCAAATATATACTTAATAGAGATATTCTTAACAAATAAGGATATTTTCCTCTTAACGTGATGGTTTTTAGAATATCTTCTTAAATTAAGAATATATATTCTTAATACTTCCGCATGCGCAATTATGCGCAACGTGCGACAACGTGCATATGTCATTTACTGCGTGTGTTCTTGGTTCTT